AGAGTTGTTCTTTGTGAATGAGGAAGAAAGAAACTGTTTTAATTCTGGAGAATGACCTAGGTGAAGTTCAGGCCACAGCCATATTTGGAAAATTCTCACATAAAACTGGACACAATCCTTTCATGCACAGTGCCAATTCTACACAATGGCTTGAACTGCACTCTCCGGCGGTCCTTAAAGGCACATTTTGTATCTTGGCTTTCACTGCTAGCAATCAAGAAAGAATTCAAGAAAACAAAACTGTTTCCCAAGCACTGTTTGCTGGTGCCATAATTAATATAATCAAACAATTCCACAAATTACTTCCAATTGCTGGCGTCACTTTCATGTTCAGAACCAGACTTTCAAAGAAGGGCCCTTCTTATCCTGCACCCCTATAGAGGTAACTCATGGTTCACACAGTGGTAATAAGGCTTCACTAAACAGTATAGGATAATTTGTACTGTAATAGGTCCCTAAGGTAGCATGGACACAATTTGAAATGCCATCTAATTTTTCTTTTTTAATTAAAAAGCAGTTATCATATTTACATGACATCACAAAAAAAATCAGAGAAGACAATCTGAAAGTTCCCACAGTTTGCTGGGGGTCTTTTCAAGGTCAGCAAGAGTTTTATGGACTTAATTGTACATAGCCCGGCATCCTCTCTGCAGAGTCAGCATTCATTCTACTAAATGGAGCTCAGGTTTTAATACTGCAAGTCCCATGGCCAGAAACTTTTACCATATTTACTAAAACTTCCATGATTTCTGGAGCTCCAGACTTAATTTACCACTTAGATCAAGCACATTTTATCAAGTGTGCATTCAGTATGCCACTCATCCATAGGTTTGTTGGTCCACCTCTAGGCAGCGAGCTGAATCTGCAGAATAATTGAAGTGTGCAACTCGAACTCAAAAAGTCCAGGATATAACTGCCAGGATCCAGCACCAAAATATGATTTGTCTGGAAGGATGTTTACGTTCTGGTGATCCCTGTAAACAAAGCAGTGAGATGGGACAGATTTTTCCATCTATCTACTCCACTGTACACGGTAATTTTGTTCCATAAACCTCATATAAACCACTTGAACAAGTCATGGCTGCCAAAATGATATTCCAAAGGCAGTTTTATCCTTAGCATCCACCCAGCATCTTCTCCATCCCAAACTCAGACCCCTGATCTGAAACAACGTAGAGTTCTGTATTACTCAGATAGTTAACACACACTTTCAGATCACAAAACAGGATTTGTGTTTTTATACGCTAAAAAATCCGTGGCCATCTGATACTTGATTACTGTCAGTGTGTTGCATACTGTGCCTATTTGTTGACTGTGGGACAGAGATTAGATCCTCTTGTTTCAGAAGTAGGCCCAGTTAACTTTCAGGAACATGGAGAGGCAAAGAAGAGTGTTTATAGTGGTTTTCGTTTGGTCCATTAACTGCACACTATTTACTTGTCTATTCCATGCTGAATATTACTGAAATAAAACAAAATGAAATAACGACAGTGCTATTAATGTTAAGGGTAAAGCTGAACTTGATGTCCACAGGGACTCCTGATCGAGTTTGGCAGCAGGAAATTATTAGCTGATCAGCTCTAGCTTCACCATCATACTGGGAAACATCCCAAGTTATTCAAAACAGCCAGACTGGGAACAGAATATTTAATTTTTTGTTCCAGAAGCAATTGGTCACTATTATGTCAACTGTTGATGTACATTTGTTCCCACTCTCCATGGACCTGCTTAATGATCAGAGCACTCTTGCTAAAGTAAACCTGACCTTGGGGTGGTTTCCGTTAATCAAAGATCGTTGCTGTCTCATACATCTTTGGCCAAAATGTTTTAATTAGCAAGATAAATATTGTCCAGTAAACAGTGGAAGTGTTGGTAAAGCTGCTAGACAATACTGACTTCACATGGTTTGGCAAATTCTCTGGTTTGCACCAGTCAGGTCCCAAGGGTACTGGGCTAAAGAGGTTCAATATTCAGTATTTCTAATATTTAACAGATTTAGTGCACTCTTGAGCTAGCTCTGGAACTGGTTTTGAAATGTGAAAATCCATGCTACTTAGAGACTACACACCTCAGTTATGGAGCCAGAGTTCCGCTTTCTCCCCACAGCACAAGATCTGCCTCCCATATTGTTACAGTCCCATTACTTGTCTTCGCTCAAGAAAATGAAAAGTGAACAAGAGCCAGAAAAATGTTCTTTCTGGTTGAACTGTTCTTATGAATACAAGGAAGAGCAACTCCTGGCCAGAACAAGCACAGATTAGGCAGGAGGGGCAAATTTATCACACAATCCAAACTCTGCCAATACACATCAATACTGATTGGCCACACTCCTCTATAGCCAATTCTATTCTGTGCACACAGCTCTGTCCATGTCTCCCATTCTTGTCTTTTAACTCTCACTACTATTCCTAACCCTGGCAATAGGCACATATTTGCCACTGGACCTCAAACCATATCTAAGAGCCAGTCTTGTAGTAACTAAAATCTATTTTCTAATGAATGTGTAAACTAACTGAATTCTGTATAGTCAGGAATAGTCGGGACAGTCTCTTAAAACACGAGAATTACTCAATGAGGATGGACTCTTGCCCAGGTTTCACTCTAGCAGGGTCTGTAATGTTTCAACTTTCATATCTGAAAGGAAGCAGTTGCCTCTGATGGACTGAATAGCAGAACTCAAATTTCTGTGCTGATTAAGGGATAATCATTCCAACCCAGTGCATGGAGACTTGACCTGTGAGAGTTCATAATTTAAATACCCGGTGGCACTGAGTTGGGATATTATTTATCTCCTGTGTGGGTGTTTTGAAATGAAAGCACACACTGGTATAGGCCAACAGATGCCTCGATACCCCAATACCAAAAAGAAATCAATGCCTCCATTCTGCACTAAGGTAAGCAGCATTACAACAGGAAATGTGGTTTGAACTCAACACAAGGGGCTTAAATTCCATCAGGGAAGCCTAACGAAAAGCAAACAAGTACAAATACACACGATCTCACAGCAGCCTTTCAGAAATGCATACAAGGCAAAACAAGTTCAGGTGAGACAATTTGATACAGAACCAAAGGCAATTCATGACAAAGCCGCATCAAATCAAAGTCCTGCCAGATCTATGGACCTATAATCCTCCCATCTTGCTTGCAACTCTTGATGTCGAGTAGGGACCATAAAAGCCAGTTAAGGCCCAACTCTACTGACTTATACTGGGCATTGGCTACTTAGGGCTGATCCAGAGTTTAAATTGGGTGCTATTCATCTTCCCCGAGCTGCTTTTTTAAAGCAATCCTGAACAATGGGACTTCAGAATAAAGACTAAAAGAGTTGTTTTTAAAAAAACTTCTAGGCAAGGGCCTTTAATGCGATTAATAGGGGGAGGAGGGGATGGTAGCAGCTTTTTCTTTTTTATGTTATGTATATTGTGTGTAAACAAATATGCAATTTGCTTTAAAAAGATAAGGTGATTAAATTTTTATCAGGCTTGTACTCTGTTGTCACCACAACAAAGAGAATTAGGAAGAGGAAAGAAAGGCCTTTTTATTTGAATTATGCTCTTACCAGAGGTTCTCCACAGCACAGCAGAAAAGCCACTCAATGTTCTCTAAACAGGCCCTTTGATTGCATTTTATTCAACTTGTTTGCATTTGGAGCAATCGAAAGGAAAAGAACGCTCCACATTTTGATGTCTTAATGTTCCTTAATACCTTCTTTAATTTATATTAAGCTTCTTAACTAGGGTGATGAATTCTTCAAAAACAATAAAGACCCAGTACAGAAATCTTTCACACACCATGAAAATTGAAATTATAATGTATTCATGGCTTTTTTGTTACAAAAATATTTAGAAGAAAGATTTAAGGCACACACAAAAAAATCCTGAAAGTTGTATGAAAATGACTTGATCCGCAGAACTAGATGAAAGTTCAAACTAATTATTACATGGAAAAGAAAATGTTGGGAGGGTGGAATGTAGAAAACAGTAACAGAATGTTTTGTTATTCTAAAGTTTTCAGTCTTAATATCTTATAAATTCCTTCTCTATCACTTTCAGCAGAAAAGGATTCTGGAAATGTTTGCATTTTTGTTATATGCAAAATACATTTCATTTTTTGCTATCCCTCCTTCCCCATGTTACTACTATTCATAGTCTTATTTCCTAAAAAATGGCTTTTAAAAGTTTAAGCTTCCACAATATATTTCCATTTCTATCTTTTACAGAGGGCCAAAATCAACGATGCACATTTAATTGGTGGATTTCTCAATGATGCCTTGAAATGCCAAATACTGAACATATTTGTAGGTGCCTGGGTGAATTTTCCCAGACTGAGTTGCCATTCAAGGTGGATCTCAGTCTGACAAGCAATCATGTTTATGAGAAAAGCAAGGATAATGTAAACATGGTACTAAAACAGGCCACACAAAGGACAAGACTCAATGGGTTTGTTCTTGGATGTACTGTATATTTGCCACAGTTAAAGAAATACTCTAAAATTGCTGAGTATACAACACTGATTATTTGCCCCATGTTGCAAATCTTATTCCCTAGGATCCCAATAATTTTTTTTGAAATATTTATGGCATCCATCATAGTCCACATGTTCCTAGCAAGAAACCATTATGCTTGCATAATCTCAATTTAGCTTTTTCCACAATCTGTCTATTGGCTGGCACTTAGTTTTTTCAGTATTTGTTGAGAACTACAAAATTGTTATATATACAACAAACACATACACACACACACACGCATTTTATATATACATATATAAATAAAATAATATACATGCACATCCCCACCCAAACTCATGAAATTGTTCATTGTTCCCCACTCCACAAAGAAATCGTCCAAAACAAACAAGCAAGCAAACAATTCATGGTACTATTTGTATTATAAAACAACATGATGTCTAGATATTGCACTACCCTGATTTGGTGCAACAGAAATATGGAAGGGGAAACAAACTTCCAAGATTCTCTCTACCCCTGAAGTACATCAAATCACCCTAGAAATCCCTCTGAAAGAAGCACATTTGAAAAGGAACATGGATTTGTTATTTTCTGTCAACATTCACTGATAAGCTTGCCTCCCTTTGTGTGAGTTACACTTTTGTGTTAGCTTCCAGGACAGCTAAAATTAAAACCTTATGACAAAGCTTCCCCCACTTATTGAGTACTTGTGAAAAAGCTTGTTGAACTGCTACAGCAGTCAACTGGTCACACTTCATAGATTTGGGGGAGGGGGGGAATAGCTCAGTGGTTTGAACATTGGCCTACTAAACCCAGGGTTGTGAGCACAATCCTTGAGGGGGCATTTAGGGATCAGGGCAAATCTGTCAGAGATGGTACTTGGTCCTGCTGTCAAGGTAGGGGACTGGACTTGATGACCTTTCAAGGTCCCTTCCAGTTCTAGGAGATAGGTATATCGCCATATATTATTATTATAGATTTTAAAATCTGTACACTGTATGGTTTTGTAATTTTAAAGTAAAAGAATGCTGACCTTAATCCAATAAAGTGGGATTGTGCCATGCAGTCTGTATACTGTCTGGGATGAAATGACACATCGCTCCTTCCTAAACTGAATCAGACACATGCAAGTACAGTAGCATCAAACTCATGATCCATTGCAGTAAAACTTACAGCCTTCCCTGAACAGTACTACTCAAGCTGAAGTGGGTGTTCATGAGAAGGCACAAAATAGCTTTCCAATCAGAGAATGTACCTAAAGCCAACTCCTACCCAGGTATCCTGTCTGCTCCATATTTATCCTGCATTCCTAATCTCTGTTTATTCAGGAGACAGTAGAGAGGAGAAAGACAGTGCACTATTAAAGCAGAAAGGTGTTCAAGCACAACAATCAGTTTTGAACCAATGAAGCCTACAGTACATATCTGCCCAAATATTCATTATTGAGTAAGCACATAATTTGCATGCACAATCACAGTAGCCGTGCATGTAATCAACTATTCAGAAATC